ATTATTCCATTATTCCATTATTCCATTATTCCATTATTCCATTATTCCATTATTCCATTATTCCATTATTCCATTATTCCATTATTCCATTTATTCCATTATTCCATTTTATTCCATTTTAGGATCTAATGTGTTGTGTGGATTTAATCTATGTATTAAATAATATTGTTATTAAACAATAACATTTTCATGAGCCAAATAAAATAATTTGGCTCATGAAAATGTTATGGATAGGTTTTTATGTCCCATCCAAAGCTTTTCAGATAGGATGGGGTGAAAGAGGAATATGGAGGCAAGTTCATGCAAATGAGAGGAAACACATTACTCAGGGGGAAAAAGGGGGAAAAGTCAACTGTTCTAGTGGTCAGTCTTTATTTTTATGACCCAGCACATTTCAGACTGCATGTTGTCCTTCTTCAGGAGCACAACAAAAACATAAAATATTGTGATTATTGTACATATGATTAGGAACAGGGATGTTATTAATTCCCCCCCCCCCAGCCTTAGGAATACTGTACTGTAATATTGCATAGCTAAATATGCAAGATACTTGAAAAAATCATTTATACATAGCAATATTAAAAAAGATAATTCACAAAACTTAATTTATTCCAAAGGGAGCCCCTAGTGCAGCATGTCACATAAATAAAAAATGACACATCTGCTTTCAATTAAAATCATTAAAAGGGAGAAGAAAAGATCACAGTACAAACTCAAGTGTTTACAGGCTTCAGAATGAGAAGATTCCCACTGTTACAGCTATTTAGCAGCTGTGTTAATCAAAGACTTCTTGCAATAAGTTAAAAGATGACGACCCTGACTTTGCATGAAAGTATGAATCAGCAAAAGAAAACTGTCTTTACATTCTCACATCCTAGAAGATATTAACACTTTTTATTATATAAACAGCAAAAACAAATAAAATGTTACCAAATTCCCAGACACTGAGATGGCAGAGATTTGTATCAGGGATAGAAAATTCTTCTCCTTATTAAGATGATGGGGAGTTAGTCTCTGTAACTACAAGATCCAGTGTAACTGCCTCCTTTGTTAGGAAGGAAGGAAGGAAGGAAGGAAGGAAGGAAGGGAGGGAGGGAGG